GGTCTCAAGGGTTAACGACATACGAAAACTCTATCAACCTACTTGCCAAATCGGCGGTGCACCCTCTGTGCCCTAAGTGACTATTTTCGGTGTAAATGGTGCGACTTTATTGCTGACAACTTGGTCAAGGCCAAGCGCAGGTGTGAACACTTTGAGGACCCCTCTCAATTCGAAGGACCAACCCATCACGTCCGCGCTTTCTTTGCAGCAGTTTTTGACCTCTCCAAATTAAGCCATGTACCGTGGCTCGCTTCTCGGGAGAAAGAGGCTAGGTTAGCAGGACTAGGAAAAAAAACTTAATGTCACTTACCCGTGTGCGAACCGAACAATTCCGGCGCCATGTAGGCCCACGTACCTCTCCGTGTGGGGCTTGTTAGGCCGTTCACGCCGGCTGATCCAAAATCACCCACTTTAAGCACACGTCCCTGGTTGAATAGGAAAAGGTTGGCCGGCTTGATATCACGGTGGATGATTTTTGGCTCGCAGTCATAGTGGAGATAGGCAACAGCGCGCGAGAGTTGGAGCATCCATGATAAAGCATTGGACAGATTATAAGGCGCTATGCTGTTGTGAATCACTGAACATAAAACAGTTGAAAGATTTAAAAAAAAATGAAACCAGCGGTGAAGCTCAAATGAAAAACAAAATTTGTTACAAGCGACACATTTACGGTAAACTAAGTCATCTATGAACGCCTTTTCATATGTATTCTTACCGGTTTTCTATGTAATTAAGTTTACAGTATTTCCCGGACATAAAATAACAGTAAAAATCCAGATAAAAATTCCAAAAGGACCGGTTTTATCATAATTTTCTCCTCCTCGAAGGCATGAAGTAGCAAGCATTGTGGTCCCACAATGCCCGAATATACTGGAGTTGCAAGTGAACATTTATAGTCCGACAGGAAAAGTGAGCGCCCGGCAAAGCCAGTCATCAAAATTAGAGACATAAAGGCTACCTATGAGTACCTTGGCTATCCCCAGTTACCGAAAAAATGACAGTTGGATGTCATAGTTTAGCCGAAGACGAGGTCCACAACATTCTTC